GACGGGAGCGCGTCAGCCCCGCCCCTTCGCCCTATCGAGGCCCCACTTGCCCCCACGCCGCCCGCCCAGCACAGGACCTTCCTGAGAGAGCAGACGGGCGACAGGCAGGCACACGGACAGACACACAGACACTCGCACGCACCCACGCCAAGTCAGACGAGCCGGCCGGCGCAAGCTCGTCAGCCAGAGCCAGAGCCCCAGCAACCTGTGAGAGGCCGGGGCCAGAGGAAGGGACGGGAGGCCGGGTGTCGGGAGACACAGAGGCAGAAAGAGACGGAGGTTCAGAGACACACTCGAAGAAGACGGCGAGAGGGAGATGCAGGTGGACAGACAGACGGGCGTGCGCGCGCAGACACACACACACACACACACACACACACACACATACACACACACACACAGACAGAGAGAGGGAGACACAGCGACTGACGGACAGAAAACGGGAGGCGGACACGGGCGAGAGGATGGCATCCGATCCGAGACAGACACAGTGGCACAGTCCCTGACCCACCTCAGAGAGAGGCCAGGTGGAAGAAGCAGCTTCCCCAAGGGAGGGGGCGTCAGCCTTGGGCCCGGGCCCCAGCTGGACGCGGTGCCCTGGGGCTGGCAGAGCCCCGTGGGGTCCCCAAGACCGTCTTGGCAGCCGAGGTCTCAAAGGTCCCCTTCGGCTTGGCTACCTAAGGCAAGACCCAGCCCCCGCCCAAAGGCCAGAGGGTGAGTGTGTGATAGTGTGTGTGTGTGTGTGTGTGTGTGTGTGTGTGTGAGTGTGTCAGTGGGCAAGGGTGTGGGCGGGCCGACTGGGGTCCGGGGGGGATACCCAGAATGGAGCGGGAAGGGTGTGGAGCTGGGGGGTTGCATATCATGTGGGGTCCAAGCATACCGGACGGTCATCTCGTCTCGTGCAATCCGAATGCGGACTGGCCCTCCGGCCTCTTGGAGGCAACCCAGGTCTGCGCTGGGAGTCGGGGCCCCGGTCATCCTCCCGCAGAGGGGCTGTGGCCGTGGCGATCCAAAAGCGGGCACGCTGCTACCCGCCATGCCCGCTGACTGGCTGGCCAAAGGCCCTGTTGGCTGGAAGATAGGCTACGGCTTGAGGGCGTTCGGGTCATATCTGTTTTTATTCCAATGGTGTGCCTCATCCTAATGTTACTTGGTTGATGATAGGAGAATCTCTGAGTGACAATAGTTCCTTGCTTTTCAATGGATCCCTTTTGTTGCAGAACCTTTCCCTTGAAAGGGAAGGAACCTATGTCTGCACAGGCACTAATGCTCTTGGAAAGGCAATAGCAATTCCGTCCTCCACTAGCTTGGTAAAGCACCAAGTCCTTGTTGTCTTCAAGTGCTTCCTATAATACGTGCAAAGTAGGACCCGGTTTTGTGGATTCTGGAGTCAAGGAGTTAACAAGTGGACGTTATGTGGTTTTAACCATTGCTGTCACTGCCCACTTACAAACTGCCTCGAAATTTAACCCTCTGCCTTACCTGCTCGTCTCTCAGAAGGCTGTGACTGCCTTGCTGCTGCTTCTCTGCCTAAGAACCCACAATGAGATATTAACTTGCTGCCCAGAATCAAGATCCTTCATACTCTGCCTCTGTGTGCATGCTTGTGTGCCACGTTGCTTCGGTCCTGTCTGACTGTTTGTGACCCCATGGGCTGTAGCCCGCCAGGCTCCTCTTACTGTAGGATCCTCCAGGCAAGCATACTGAAGTAGGTTGTCATGTCGTCCTCCAGGGGATCTTCCCAAGCCAGGTATCAAACCCACATCTCCTTCATCCCCTGCACTGGCAGACAGGTTCTTTACTGCTAGCACCACCTGGGAAGCCCATTCTGGCTCTACATCTCCTTAATTTATAACTAAACTCTGTTCTAGGCAACGCAGTTTCCCGCACTGTGATCCAACACCACACACACGCACAGAGACAGAGAGAGGGAGACACAGCGACTGAGGGACAGAAAACGGGAGGCAGACACGGGCGAGAGGATGGCATCCGATCCGAGACAGACACAGTGGCACAGTCCCTGACCCACCTCAGAGAGAGGCCAGGCGGAAGAAGCAGCTTCCCCAAGGGAGGGGGCGTCAGCCTTGGGCCCGGGCCCCAGCTGGACGCGGCGCCCTGGGGCTGGCAGAGCCCCGTGGGGTCCCCAAGACCGTCTTGGCAGCCGAGGTCTCAAAGGTCCGGGGGGATACCCAGAACGGAGGGCCGAGGGTGTGGAGGCCGTGGGTTGGGAAGCCTGTGTGGTCCTCTTGCTGTTTCTTTCTCCCTCTTTCTCCATCTCCCTTACCTGTGGTTTCCAGCTGAGCTGTCTGGATGGAAGGGTGTGTTTGTGTGTGTGTGTATGTCTGTGTGTGTCTGTGTGTGCGCGCGGGCACATGAGGTCGCCTACGAGGCTGGGGGTGAGGCTGGGGGTGGGGACATTTTGAAATACATGTGCAACCAAGCATGCACTGGACTACACTTCATAACTCCATTAACATATTGTTTATTGGGAGATACATGGATAAAGAAAAAGAAACCTATGTACACAATGGAACATGACTCTGCTAGAAGAAAATGACATAACGTGATTTTCAGGAACATTGAGAAAACCAGGGATGATCAAACCACGTGAAGAAAATCAAAATAAAAAAATATATATATCTTTAGATATCATTTATAGCTGGAATTGATAAACACCCACCAGTTTATTCACTGAGAAACATGAAGACTCAGAGACCTAGAAAACAATCTTCTGATTATTAAGGAGAAAGCAAGTGGAAAGGGATAAAATAGAAGGTTAGTGTAAGCAAATATAATCATTCCATGTAAAAAAGGTAATCATCAAAGATCTAGGTATAACAAAGGATTTCTGTGAACACACTGTAATGAATTCCATGGGGAAAAATGCAAATATGAATACATATATATATATGTAAAACTGAAAACACTGTTTTTTGGTTTTTGTTTTGGCTGGATGAGGTAACCTGGCCTAAAGGCTTAAGGAAATCTGTGTAAAATCTAGTGGAGTCCCTTGCTTCAGTTTATTAGATGTCAGGGTTTCCTGCATAATAAACTCTCCTGGCCTTGAACGTAGAACTCACCTGTGAAGTCCTGTCTGACTTGAGCTTTTCTGTATGTCAACAAGATGTGGTTTTGTTTGTTTGCTTGCTTGTTTTTGATTAAAATATTAAATTGTTGCCTTTACAAAAGAACTTTAGAAAATGCAGAGACACAAATACAAAAGAAGTAAAATAGCTCAGTATCCTTCCACCTAAAGGTTGCAGCTGCTAACATTTTTATTAATTTCTGATTCCCTTCCTAGGCATGGACACACTTACCTGTATTAAATGTGGTTAAGGCTTACATTCTTCTCTAATATATGCCTTTAATCCCCAAATTTTTAAAAAGAAATGTCAAAATGCATAGAACTTTGGATAAAACTAATATCCGCCTGACTTCATCAAATTGAATGTTTTGTCATGTTTGTGTCAGATTTTTTTGAGGGAGGGGTGGGAGGAGAATAAAATGGTCCGTTGGTATTCCTTTTGTGTGTTTCCCTAACAGCCTTCACTCCTTGTCCTGTTCCCTCCATCCTTAGAGGCACTTTGGTGGGTTTTCTTCCAGCCCATATGCTTGTGCTTTTACTACTGCATTTTCGCATGGATATTCACATTTGTTGGTGTTGTTCAGTCATTAAATCATGTGTGACTCTTTGCAACCACATGGACTGTAGCCTGCCTGGCTCTGTCCATGGAATTTCCCAGGCAAGACTATTGGAGTGAGTAGCCATTTCGTTCTCTAGGGGATGTTCCTGAATCAGGGATTGAACCTGTCTCTCTTATGTCTCCTGCATTGGCAGACAGATTCTTTAACACTAGTGCCACCTGGGAAGCCTGGATATTCACATACTTATCCCTTTATCTATTGGTGAGACAGAAAATGCTATGTGTGTTTCTATTTTAATGTAATTAAATCTGTCAGTCTTTTCCTTTAGGATTTCTACCTTGGTTGATGTATCTAGGACAATCTTTGTTGCATCAAGTCTGTGTGACTTTTAATCTTTTTTACTATTTTACAGTGGTCAAACAACTCCATTTAGAAAAATTATTTCCAGAAGACATGTCTTTCCTATGGTTTAAAAAAAAATGGGCATTTACAAGATACACGATTTTCTTTCTTTTTTTAATTTTTATTTTTTTATTAGTTGGAGGCTAATTACTTTACAATATTGTAGTGGTTTTTGTCATACATTGACATGAATCAGCCATGGATATACATGTATTCCCCATCCCGATCCCCCCTCCCACCTCCCTTTCCACCTGATCCCTCTGGGTTTTCCCAGTGCACCAGGTCTGAGCACTTGTCTCATGCATCCAACCTGGGCTGGTGATCTGTTTCACCCTAGATAATACACATGTTTCGATGCTGTTCTCTCAGATCATCCCACCCTCGCCTTCTCCCATAGAGTCCGAAAGTCTGTTCTATACATCTGTGTCTCTTTTTCTGTTTTGCATATAGGGTTATCGTTACCATCTTTCTAAATTCCATATATATGTGTTAGTATACTGTAATGGTCTTTATCTTTCAGGCTTACTTCACTCTGTATAATGGGCTCCAGTTTCATCCATCGCATTAGAACTGATTCTAATGAATTATTTTTAATGGCTGAGTAATATTCCATGGTGTATATGTACCACAGCTTTCTTATCCATTCGTCTGCTGATGGGCATCTAGGTTGCTTCCATGTCCTGGCTATGATAAACAGTGCTGCGATGAACACTGGGGTGCACGGATACACGATTTTCTAACTTGACTTTATCATACTTCATCAACCTCTTTGTATCTAGAAGGCCTAGATATAGCGTGAGTTTCCTTTTGCAAGGTTGAGTGAAAAGTTGAGAGCAGCTTTTTCATATTATAGACATAGGCCTTCTATAAATGGACAATAAGTCTTCCCAAAGGGCGATGGGCAGTTCCTATTGGCTGCATGCTGTAAGTTATTCCACCATTTCTGTTAATACCTTTCGACGTCAAGGTAGAACCACCACCAACTGCCGAACCGTTCATTTCTACCCATCGCCCACCGCGGCTCCGCTCACCTTCCGGGCCGTTAAGGTCTTCGTCAGTCTCCATGCGTGAGTGGTCAGTTAAGGTACCGGATCCACGCGGGTCCAAGGCGTCCACACCCACCCGCGAGGGCCTGGCGGAGGCTTGGCCTAAGCCCTGCAGCCTTGGGCCAAGAAACCCGGTGGTTGGTCAGCGAGATCCGGGCTCTGAGCGGCCGCCGCCATTAGGCGGCAGAGATGAGGGTGAGGTTTGCTGCGGCTTCCAGTGGGTGGCCGTGGTGAGAGCTCTGAGGCCCCGCAAGACCGAGCCCAAGCTGAGTGAGTGCGCCCCCAGTTCACCTACCCACCGGGGTCCCGGCCCAGGGGCCCCTGGTTCCCCCGCCCGCCGGAGGTGCCGTCCGGGGCCCCAGTTCACCTGCCCACCCGAAGCCAGAGGACCTGGAGGGCCCCCGGGTTGAAGGCCGCCATCTGCTTCTCACCGTGCTCCCTGCCGGAACTGTATGTAATGTTCTTGAAATGCAAAGATTATAGACATGTAGAACAGATCAGTAATTGCCTGGTATTAAAGAAGCAGTGGGGTGAGTGGAAAGGAGATACAACTGTAAAAAGCAACTTGAGGGATCCTTGTGATAGAAGTGTTCTGTATTGACTGAACTCTTTGCGACCCCATGGACTGTGGCCTACCAGAAACCTCAGTCCATGGGATTTTCCAGGCGAGAGTACTGGAGTGGGTTGCCATTTCCTTCTCCAGAATTAATGTCAACCATACCGCAATTTAAAAATTGGTGGAGAAAGGGTGAACATTCAATACATGGGGTTCAAATAGGATTATTAATATCCAAAGGAAAAATATTAGAAAATGTCAATCCATTAAAGAATAAATTCCAGGTGGATTAAAATCTACTTATGAAAAGTAAATCTTAAAGCATTTAGAAAAAGAATATATAGAATATCTGTATGATCTCTGGGTGATGTTTGTGTCCTTAACTAAGATACAAAGGGCATAAATTACAAAGGAAAATATTTATAAATTCAAGCAGGTTAAGCAAACACCTTTGTGTTATACAAATGTATACTATAGGGACTTACCCTGGTGGTCCAGTGGTTAAGACACTGCACTTCAACTGCAGGGGTCGGGGTTTGATCCCTCGTGGGGGAACTAGGATCCTGCATGCATGTCCTGTGGTGTCAGCACAAAAAAAAAAAAAAAAAAAAGGAAAAAAGAAGAAAAGCATAGAGGGAGAAAATCTTAATAATGAATATAACCAATAAGGAATTAGTGTATGAGATATTGAAATACAATAAAACAAAAGCAAAGTGAGCTAATAGAAGAATGGGAAAAGGATATGAACAGGAAATTCACAGGAGAATCTGCATAGTCTAAAACGTGAAAATATTAACCTCACTAACAAAAATGCAAAAAATATAAAGATATTTCATATTCTTTAGAGTGGGAAATTTTTTAGTTTAAAAATGCCAAATATTGGCCTTGATGTGTAAAAACAAGAACCGTTCTGCACTACTAAAGGGAATGAAAGTTGGTATTGCACCTTAAAATGACAGTTTGTCATTATCTGCTACTAGTGAAGTTCTCAATGTCCACAACAGAGCAGTCTCACTAGAGTACATATCCCAGAAAATGAGTGCAAATGTACACTTTGTTGGAGTTGTTCAGTCACTCAGTTGAGTCCGACTCTTTGCAACTCCATGGACTGTGGCCTACCAGGCTCCTCTGTCCATGGATTTCCCAGTCTAGAATGCTGGAGTGGGTTGCCATTTCCTTTGGGGATCTTCCTGACCCAGAGATTGAACCCATGTCTCCTGCATTACAAATGGATTCTTTAACACTGAGCCATCAAGGAAGCCTGGAATTGTAGTACCGTAGGTGACAGTATAAGATTGCTCATTGCAGAACCAACATAAATCTTCATAGGCTTTTAAGAAAATTGATCAATAAAAAAATGAAAGAATTGATGAATCAGGCTATATTTATGAATTAGATTACGCTGGAGTCATAAGATTGAATGGGTTAGAATTGCATCTATCAAGATGGATATTTTCAGAAACAGTGTTGAGACAAAAAAATCAAGCTGTGAAAGGTTAGGCAGACTATCATACTGTTTACTTTGTTACTTCTCACCAAGGGGAGGGAGGCAGGGGAATAGGATTGAGGAGGTTTGGCAGGGGGCTTCCACCATATTTGTAATGACATTTTTCTTAAATCCAAAGAAAACTTTTAAGAAATGATGAAGTTTATTGGTGTGTACAAGAGTTTACATTGTCCTCCTGACCTTTTTTGGACCTAAAATATTTCACAGTAAAGTAATTGTAGGGACCCCAAAACAGGTCTGTCCTAAATATTGCTACTGTATTTAGAGTCGCCATTCCTGAAGTAGTCCCCCCCCCCTTTTTTTTTTTTAGTATTTATGCGGTATTATTTAGTCTTTTTTGTCCATATCTTAACCTATATTTTAAAATTTACTTTTGGGCCCAAGAATCTCCAAATTTTTTCTTGCTCCTTGAGCTCATCTAATTCGAATACATATTTGAAGATAGGGAAGATTCTATACCAAATATAAAAAAAAAATTAAATGAGAGTGTAGTGTGTTCTGAGGTATTTACAGGAAAACAAGTATGTGGTGGAGGTGATCTATGTTCTCAGCTTAGCTCCTGATACAAGGTCAGGCCTGTGATACACCCTCTTTTTCCATGATTCTGATAAGAAACAGGGGCAGTAATGTTTTTTCTCTGCATAAAAGTTAGATTATTTCAGAGGAAAGGCTTCAAGATCATTAATAATTCTCTCATCCCTGCTCCTCATCTTTTAGGCAGCCCTAGGCCTTACGTACCCACTCCCATATTGAGATGTTTCACTGTAACTTGGGAAGTATTCTGAGTTTATTAGGAAGGACATCTACTTCCCCTGGAAAGCTTATCAGGTCTCCTTAACCTTGAACAGCCTTGAAAGTGAAAGTTGCTCAGTTGTGTCCAATTCTTTGGGACCCCATGGACTGTATAGTCCATGAAATTCTTCAGGCCCAAGTCAGGGATCGAACCGGGGTCTCCCTCATTGAACAGCCTCAGAGACTCATTGAGGTCGCTTAGTCGTGTCCGACTCTTTGCAACCCAGTGGACTGTAGCCTACCATGCTCCTCCATCCATGGGATTTTCCAGGCAAGAGTCCTGGAGTGGGTTGCCATTTCCTTCTCCAGAGGATCTTCCTCACCCAAGGATTGAACCCCAGGTCTCCCAAGTTGTAAGCAGATGCTTTACCATCTGAGCCACCAGGGAAGTCCTATTAAATCTTCATAAATATTGAGCTTTTGTGGTCAGCTTTTCTTGGAAGAGGTATGCAGAGGGGGGTTACATAAAAACCAAGGAGAAAGCTATTCCAAAGCTTTAGAAACCTTTTCAGTGCCTTCTCTTTTTATTGTTATGCTCCTTTAAATTCATGATTTAGGAGAGGGCATGAGCATGGCTCTTTTGCTCATGTATTTCTTTGTGGAGAAAGTTATTTCAGAATTTGATTACATTTAAATCCACACTCAGTTCTCTTGCACGGTGGACCATACACCAGCCAGAATGTCTCTTTCGCTTGCAGAAATTTGCAATTTGATATTCTAGTCAAGTGCCAGTCATGGGAAAGATAGGTTTAAGTTAACTACTATTTTAAAAGATTAATATATTTCTTTTCTTCAAAACATATGCTTCTCAGTTTTTAAGACACTAGCATTTGAGTCAATATATCAGCAAGTGAATGCAATAAATTATAAACTCTAGGGAAAAATTATTAATGTATTCTTATGTGGAATCAACATGTTTTTTATATATTTATAAAATTTATGGCTTCAAAAATCTTCAATTTCAGGGTGTTATGAATGTTGTAATAGATAGAAAATATATAATTATGAAATGATGTTCTTGAATTTTCATATACTACTGATAATCATTAGCTCTTGCAAATAATAATTAGAATGAAATTAAAAACTTATAAGTCATATTTCTGAAGCTCAGCTGCTTTGAGCCAGAATAGTTTCCACAATAAGCTGACAGGTTCCTGCTTGGAGAATTAGGACTTCAGTGTCCTTAGCTTTAAAATAACCTGTGTTTCATTTCATGCATGCTTCATAAAGCGGCCATTTATTTTTGTGCTAAATTGTAAGCAAAGCATGCCACATCAATAGAGGCTAGTTAGTGGGTTCAATGTGTGTTAGGTTGGACAAAGTGAAGTAGGATGTGAAAAATGTCTGCCAGATGCTTGGGTTAAGAAACCCTTACTACTGACTTATTAAGGGAACTGAGAGATAACCTTCCTGTATCCTTATGTCCACATCCTAGTACATGATAGGTTCACCATAAAAAGTCACTGGAGAAGAATGTGTCCAAAATGGTACTTTATATTTTGAGAATCCATGAAATGAAATGCTCTTCTTTTTCATATCACTTTGCTGCAGTTGTAGTGGGAATTTTAGTAGAGATATATTTACACTTTAGGTTTAGATTTTCAGGCCCAACACTCAAGATGCAAGTTAGTGCCTCACAGTTAGGATATAGCAGATGGCATTGGGGTATAGACCCCGACCAAGTGGTTATGAGACATAACCATAGCTGCCCGTCAGCAAATATATGTTTTCCTTTTAGTGTTAAGTTTTTCAGTATTAGTTTTGTTTTTCATTTAAATCATTAAAATGAAACAATTACTAAAAATGCGTCTGAAAAATTATTTCTGAAGTTCTAACACACTTTAAAAAAAATATCATCCTTTTTAAGTTTCCACAGTTTTTGTGTTCCCGTATTTAAATGAACTCAAGTACAGTCTTAAGGCATGTTTTTGTAACTTGCCTGCCTTTTGAAATTAGAATCAAAAGCTTTTTAGGGTTATAAGTCAGCATGATACAAGAAGATTTTGGTCATCACCTCCCTAATCTGTTAGTTGCTTTCCTCAGTTGGGGCCTTTCCAAAAAAAAGCAGAGTACTTCAAATTACTCTTTCACTTTTTCTGTAATTTATTTTCTTCCTTTATCCACACATAATAAACACAATGAGATAAGTCAGGTAAATAGATGACCTTGTCCACTGGCAAGGCTGTTGTTTCCCAGGAGAATGGAGCTGTATCCTTTTGACCGAGAGAGAGAGTTCTCCACCCTCATAACTTTCCCCTGCCAGACTCCCAGTTTGGTTTAAAATTTAATGTAGCCTGGCTAGGAGTTTAATAAATTTTAATTTATACCTTTGATGAGTCACAAAGATGGAACTATACAGTGTTAGAAAATACTAAGCCTGGGTCAGCCTATTGTGATAATATAGAAAGATGTTCTCAGTGAACAGTCAAGAGAACTGTATACCTGGATACTTATTTCTATAGGTCCCATGTAAGCTTATCATGAAACA